GAGGACCTCATCAGTGTTTGCCGCAAAGAGTTTAAGTTTGTCAAACAGTAGATCCTCAACCTTATTTTGCAACTCCTTTGGAGCCCCTGCTGATGAAAGCCAAGATGATCTCCTCATGGCAATACCTGTAGCAGCGGCTCAAGCTGCTGTGTCAGCCACATCCATGGCAATATGTAGTGCAGTACTACATGATGCGTACCCTTCTTGAACTATTGCTTTCAGGAGTGGCTTCTTGCTATCTGGAAGATGGTGCAGCAGCTCTGTTAACTTCGAATAATTATCGAAATTATGATTCGATAGATGGGCTGAGTAGTTTGCAATTCGTAACAACAACGTGGCTGAGGAGTAGACTTTCCTGCCAAAAATATCTAATTTTTTATTGTCCTTGTCTGGAAGTTTGCTGTCGGTGATTGGCGGACGCAGGAAGATCCCCTGCGTGATGATGGAGTATAGTCATGCTGGGGACTATTGTAATATGATCTATGATAGCGATCATAATAGTGCTCGGACCGCGACGGGGAGGAGTGCCGAGAGGAGCGTGCACTACCATGATGGATATAATAGACGCGACATGAAGAGTGTCTACCAGACCCGTACCTCGAAAATCGGGAGGGTGAACGGGATCGTGAACGGGACCGATGTGTGTCTAAGTACACTGCATCCCTATAGTCATGCCGGCTGTGCATAACCCATGAAGGAGACACGTAAGCACAATAGCGATCATGTCTTCCTGGTGAAACAGTGGAGAAAGGGACCTGTCCCTATAATGGGTCTTGGATAATGACTTTCTAGGTGTAGAAGTCCCATCCATCCCCAGACGCATGGGGGAGCCAGGCACCGAATGAAAGTGAAGCGGTGCCGGAGGAGTCAGCTGTTGTTGGAGTGATGTTGGTGCCGGTATGACGCCCGGTGCCGAGGTTAACGACGGTGCTGAGTCTGAGGCATTAACATGTTCCGCCTCAGATACCGGTGCTGGAAGGGACGGTGCCAATGCCATCGTCGGGGCAGGCAGAATAGGTGCCGCTGCATTAGGTGCCGCTGAAGCCAGTGCCGAGAGGCTGGTCAATTGCGGCACCGGCGCGTCTATCAGTTTCAGGGAGCGCGCCGCTGAAGCCGGTGCAGACTTGCTGGCCGGCTGCGGCGCCCCTCCCCGAG